CTGATGTCTCTGTCTATAGCATATAAATGGCCACCTTACACAGTCTTTCCTTTATGTGTGTGTGTGTGCTTGTGCACGCCTTCTAGTCACCTCTTCTTAAAGAACACAAGTCATGTGAGATTAAGGGCCACCCATAGGACCTCATTTTACCTTAATTGCCTCTTTTAGGGCCCTATCTTCAGATACAGTTGCATTCTAAAATATCTGGGGTTGGGACTTCACATAAAGACTTTTTTTTTTTTTTTTTTTTTTTGTCAGCCCATAACAACCAGTGCTGGAGTTTTAAAACAAAAATATTTTGGAGTGAGAATGAGCATATTATGAGATGTGAAATTCTGTTCTCATATAGCTTACTATTTAAGAAAGAGGGCAAATGTTAAACAATAAAAAAACTAATTACCTTTTTAATATATTGGGGGGTAATAGGTATAAAGAAGAAAAATAAAGTGAGTTAAAGAAATATAGAGTATACTGTATTATGTGGGAAAGCTCTCCATGATTTGACATTTGAGCAGGAAAGAAGTACTACCTAGAGGAAATAAAAGTAGGGAGCCATGACCATATCAGTGAGCAGGGAAAACAGCAGATGTATACACCCTGAAGCAAAGTGATGATTTGTCTATGTAAGAAACAGCCAGGAGACCCAAGTCACTGCCATGGAGAACAAGGGTAAATGACAACAGAAAGGTATTATGTACAAACTCTTTTAAATGCTGTTGACTTATGATTTCTTTATTTAATCAAAAGTCAATGAATCATATGATAGGTACATGAACATTTTATTTTTACCTTTAGAAAATGAGGTATGATTTATACAGAATGCAATTACACAGATCTTAAGTAGACAGTTCAATGAGTTTTGACAGTTGTATATCCTGTGTAACTCATACCCCATCAGAAACTACATCTATTAAATATACTTGTGATTGTTAGATATAAAATATATTTGTAATGCTCACAAATATTAATATTAATGTTTAATATTAAATATATTTGTGATTTAATATTAAAACATATTTGTAAATCTTAAATATGTTTGTGATGCTCATCTTGTCTCCTGATTCCCTGAATACATACATACTGAACATACACACTGCTTCTAGAAAGATTGGTAGGGAGACTCCTCATTCTTTTTTCTCATTCTTTCAATTATGTTCATGATGATGACAATATTACTGTTACTACTAGTAGTAGCTACTGTATAGTGAGCCCCTCATATATCAGATACTGTTATAAGAGCTTTACATGTATTAATTTACTCAATATTCATCATAGCCTTATGAAGTAGCAACTATTGTTCACATTTTGTGAGTAGGAAAAAGGAGGCATGGATCATTTAAGTAAGTTGAATTAAGTCATACAATTAGTGGATGTTGGAATCCATATTCAAATTATGGCATTTTAATTCTGAAATATATATTTCTAGATTCTAAGCTAGGTTGCTTCCTAAAAGTCAAATCTTATGTTATGAATACTTAAATTTTCCTTAGTTTAAATGCAAGTAAGGTTATATATATATATATAAATTTTGCTTCTACACCATTTTTCCACATAAGGCGTTTATTTAACATTATTTTTTCTTCCTATTTTCTTAGTGTATCTTTCATTGTGATGTGGTTTTTACAGTGGTATCTATGGTTTAGGCTGTGGATATATTCTAGTTCACTTTCATTTTAGATCTTCCTTCATACAAAGATCTGTCTTCCTGAGAATAACACCTGTAGCTGATTCAGGGTATTTTTTCCATGCCTACTCACTAGATTTATCAGTTCTTAAACCAAATTTTGCAAAATTGTCCAGTGACCAGTTCACAGAAGCCCCTGCATAGCTATTTAAAACATTTAAAGTCTGTTGGGTGCCCGGAACTTCTGGGAGCACTACCAGCAGTCTTACACTAGCTTCCAGGATCTTTTGGCAGCCTCACACAGCCTCATAAAATAGATTGAATAAATTTGCAACTAGTATGCAGTTTTCTACAAAAGAAAATATATGACTACAGATAAAAATGAGTCGAATAGCAACTAAACTAGACCCCCTGGGTAAGGGATAATCTCCTAATTAAAAACAAAAAAAGTCTTCCTATTTTAAGAACATAGTTACTAAACCTCTAAACTTTATCTAGATTTTATTTTTTATATTTGAAATCCATTTTGATAAAGATAGGAAAAATGGTGTATATTTTCAAACAAAAATTTTGTAATATCTCTTAGAATATCTGGCTGATACTCCATTATTTACTGGGCAGGAAGAAAAGGAAAGGATTCTGATTAGCAAGATGGTACTTACTAGTTTTCTAACTGTTGAAGTTTTCCTATCTAGAGAAATATTTTTAAAGAAGGAGATGACTGTGCTCAAAAAATTTGCAACAATTAGAAAAGGGGTTGTATTTTTGGATCGAAGAGCCTGTAGTTTATGCAAAGTTGATCATGTTCCACATGGGCTTGGCAAGCCAGGAATATTGCAGAAGTTGGACTTGGTTTGAGAAACAGAACTGTGTTTGCAAATAAATAGGGGTTTACTGGAATAAAAACATAATACAGATGCTGATTCTCTTAAATAAACCTGGGCCACCAACTGTGCTTATGTTGGTTGGTGTTACTGTGTATATTGTACCATCCTTCTGCTCAACCAGTTTTATTCTTACGGGAAGAGTATTGGAACACAATATATGAGATTACTATTTAACAAATGCCAGTAGATAAGACTCTTGTAAATGATAACATGTAGAATATTTTTAAGTTAAGAGATAAAATTAAAATCTTAAAATGTATAAGAAAAGACTATTTCATAAATAAACAAAAATTGAAACAGGAACTTAGTTTTTTCCTATAAAATATTAAAGTTAGACTCAGTGCTAATGTCTTGATATATAGATCTAGCAGGCTATGAAATTAAAATAATTGGAATGGCAATAAGATGTGATTTTCCCTTTTTGTATAACCAAAGCTGAAATTGAATTTTCAATAACCTCAACTGTTAAGCTCTTAGGAAATGACTTATCTTAGCCATTTTAATATTTAACATTAAATGATTTTACTTTTTCTATTATAATCATATTCATTATATTTTCTTTTTAAAATGTCCTCTTTCTTTATCCTATTTAAGCCTCACAATATTTTATGAGATGGATAGAGTAGAAAATATGTTATAAGAAAATGAAGCACAGAGAGGCAAAATGCCTACCTAAAGTCATCTTTTACTTTTATGACATAGCCAGTGATTGTGGTGTTTATGCCTTTATTATCAATCTTTACATTAAAATATTTTATCTAATATATAGATCCTTTATTATAGGATCTTTTATTTTTAAGTATTCCTTCTAAATCCAGAAATCGCTATTTGATAACCATCAGTCTTATATGTACTTTTCCATGGGACTTCTTGTCTATAATAAACTGAAGGGACCGAGTCCATCTTAGGATCAAAGAAGGACAGAAAATTTGATAGCTTTCACATCCCATACAGTGTAGTAAAGCATATATAACACAACAGGAAATATAGGGGAATTTTTCTCGTTATCAGGGTTAGAGGCTGGGTTCCAACGTTTAGCTATATTTTTTATGGAACAGTGAAGTCAAAATGAAATAGATAAGTAGCAGAGTATTTTTTTTTTCCAAGAAAAATAAGAAGCAAACAAATCCCAAATATCATGCATTCCTCAAATTTGCACAGTTTGCTTCTTTTTTAAAATGCCAAATAAATGTAAATTCTATGTAACTATAGAAAAACTTTGTTAAAATAATTTTTAAACTGTCACTTAATGTAAATTTCGCATTCGTTACCAGTCTAGATGGATTGTAACAGGGAACAGCATTTATGTTGCTTTATGATGCAAAGTCAGCTGCCCTTAATTCAAAGAGCTTCTGCCTCAGCAAATTGTACTTTGATGTTTTTATTTTGAGGCAAATGTTTCTGAAATACTCTGAGTATCTTTGTATTTAATAGCTGTTCTTCCCAAATATCATCAAAACTATGTTACTTATTCACATCAATAAATTTATACCTTATTTGATATTATTTTAAGTGTAGCATATGATATGAGAATATTTTTGGTTTGATATATTTACTGTAGAAACAGAAACAAATTGACCAGGTTCTTATTGTTCTATTTAGTATAAATAAGACAAATATGTATGTGGTATTAATCCTACACTTACTTTGATTTTGTTATTAATTTTGCACATGTCTTTGGTATGCCTTTTAGAATTCTTACTCTGGTTATTCTAAGTCACTTTACACTAATGTGTTATTTCTCCTCTGATAATATTTTTTGAATGTATTCCGTCTTTTCTAAAATAAAGATCTGTTGTGGATACTCTCTGTGCAGACCAGATGGGGTTTTATGGCTTAATAACTGATGACTTATTTCATATAATTGCTCTTTTTCAGAATCTCAGAATTTTTTCTTTTATAGCTTAATATTGATAACTTTGTGTTCTGCAAGATGGTTTACCAGCATTATCGAACTTAGTCCGCATAGATCTTTAGGTTTGGTACTGTTATTTTCATTTCACAGATGAACAAACTGAGGCTTAGAAAGGCTTCCAAAAAGACGAAGTGAATAGACCCAGGCCTGTCTGTGTATAAAGGCCAGTTCTTAGCCACTACAATATTTTGTACCCCAGAATGACTTCTATTTCAGCACTTTTGGCTCCTGGAAGTGCTGAAACAGCATAGGTTCAGAACCATACTATCTGACAACCTGTAGTCTGCAGAATATTGTGATAGGAATTTAAGGAGAATACAGTACAACTTAAAGAAATCAAATAATTGTCAAGGGCCTAGCAGAGTAGTGGCAGGTCTAGAATTAGCTGTGTGAATTTTATCCACCTGACTTGCCTGCAACTTTAATTTATTTGGACATCTAATTCTGCCTTTGAAAGTCCAGTCCTGATGTATATGGGAACATTAAATAAGTCATATATTTCATGTTATATCTCTTTTATGCAAGACAAATATTATGGTAATGAAATTTTTCTTTTCTTTTTTTTAAAATACAGTGGGATGCATTCTGCCTTTATTCTGGACTTCACCTTTGTGGCTTGGATTTATCACAGTAGCATCTGTCTTCGATCTATGTGTTAACTAGAAATCAAGGAAAGACATGAGGAGGTTTGTTTACTGCAAGGTGGTTCTAGCCACTTCACTGATGTGGGTTCTGGTTGATGTCTTCTTACTCCTCTACTTCAGTGAATGTAACAAATGTGATGACAAGAAGGAAAGATCCCTGCTACCTGCTCTCAGGGGTAAGTGCTTATGAAGTAAATGTTACTTTTAAAGAGATGAGAATGACAGTGACTCATTACAAAACATGAAACTTCAAAATACGGGTTGCTTAAACTTGTTGAGTTAGAAGAGCGTTTTGGCAGAACTATTTATCTACATTTAACCATGGGAAAGCTACTCTACTTTTCTCGGCCTCAGTGTCTTGTTGGGAGAAATGAGAAGAATGAGTTCATCTCTAAGTTACTTTCCAATTCTAAAATTCCTACGTTCTGTGATTGTATGGAAAGAACAATTTAGAGAACATCCTAACTGGAAAGAATTTTAAACGTAAGCTTCCAGAAGCAAAAGCCCTTAGGGACCAAGCATGTAACATAAAGAGGAAAACCTGTTAAAGTGAGATGGTAGATACTATAGCAAAATGCAACTGCGTGTGGCACTCCTAAAGACTTCCAAAAACAATAAAACAAATGAACAAACACCACTTTTGTAATCAAAATACATGTTGGTGGCCAGATTCAACTGTGGGCTGTCAGATTGTTGCCCTATGCTAAGAGCAAAAGATAATTTTGAGTATATTATAAAGTCACTTTAACTCAATATTTACCTCTTTAGGGACCAGTTTCAATAGCTAGATAAGAGTGAATTCTAAAACATCAGAGTGCTATGTATAAATGGGGATTTATTAAATGAAGTCATAGATTCATTTCCTATATTATTCCAAATATTTTTCTCTATGCTTTTTTGTTGACTTCTAAATCTATACATATGTTTTTAAGTATTCTTAGTAAATGAGTGCATCTAAAGTATTTATGGGTCCTTGAAATTAATTTTATTCTCATTGAATTAAACTTTATTTTTTTCTTGAAATCTAGTGTACATTAATTGTCTGTTTAACAAAAGCTTCCTTCATAAATATGACAAAAGGTAAACTCTGAGGTCCAGTTGAAATATTTGTACCTTTGGGAAAAATGAATCTAAATTACTGACTTGAAATTTGCATTTATTTAAGGACTGTAATTTGCTTTTCATGTTACAGATATTTTTGAGATTATTTATTAATCAAAATATGCTACTGAATAGAATTTCATTGATATCGTCTGGTTTTATGAGATTTAGAGAAATACAGAAGAGCATTTCCAAAAATTAATTTTTGTTAAAAGACCATTTTAGACATCTTGAGTTTGCTTTAGATTACAATCATACTCTTACTCAATTGGAGAAATTCTGATTATCTTCTTCTTTTCAAAATGAGCCTAACTTTTCCACTGTGGTTTTTGACTAGTACAAAGAATTGGGAAAAAGTACCTTGGAAGTAACTGAGCCTAGACCCATTTAGGTAGTTTATGTGCATTTTTTTACACCTTTATACTAGAACTATTTAGATAGTTTATGTGCATTTTTTTATACTAGAACTAGTATACACCTTTATACTAGAACTATTCAAATAAAAGAACATTATGGATCCATTAGTTCTTGATAAATGAACATGGGGATTGATTTATTTGCTGATCTTTGGTTAAAATCCTAGAGTTAATCAGTCGTCTCTGTTTCTTTGTTAGAATCAGTTGAGCTGCTGCTTGGCTGAAAGTGTAAATGTGTTTTGATGGATCACATAAGTTTGAAATGACCACTTTGTCATTTGTTGAATGGAGACATCTAGATTGGTCACAAAAAGTGTTGTAATCTGATTCAGCAAAATTATGACAGCTTTTTTCAAGTACCAAACAAGTACAGTTTTGCTGATTTAAGTTCTTACCGCTCAGTCTTAAATCTCAAAATGTGAAATTTAATGATGCAAGAAAAAAAAAATTTGTCCTTGTACTTAAATTGTTAATTAAACTATATTCTCTTTATTTTAAGACTTGTTTAGTGTTGTATATTAATGTTTATCTTGGTATCGTAAAATAGATTTAGGGTTGAATTTCATTTTCTATTTTTAATTATTATTTCAGAATATTACTTCATTCAGGAATTGTGCCATGTACTTAAAATATTTTATATACAGGCAAATGATGTTGTGCAAAGTTCACTTGATTGAAATTTTCATGCTCAAAATTTACTAAAAACAGGCCTTTTGACTTAAAAAAAATGTATCTTTATGGACATATGTGTCTCCATTATTAAAACAAAGGGTTTGGATTAGGTAGTTTCTAAGAATCCTATTTCTAAATTTTAAACAATTTCTAAGTATCCAATGTTACCACATATTTTGAATTAATTTTTAAGAAATATTCATTAATTTAGTCATCAAATCATCAATTATTTAAGTGCCTATCAAGTCAACATGTTGTACACCTTAATGATACACAATGTTATGCATCGATTATATCTCAATTAAAAAAACCATAGCCCTGTAATGTGCAAAGGAAAAACAAGTCCAAAGCATAAGCATAAGGACATCTGAGTCACAGGTGCTATGACAATGTTACCACAAAATTAAAAACCTTTGTTGAACAACCCGGTTCTTACCTCCTCCCCACTGAACTATCTGTATAACTTTGTCAAAGTCCTCAACAAAATCCTAGTTTCCTTACTTAAAATGACAACCTTAGTAGCAATAAATCCTGCTTCACAAGGTTGCCTTGAGAATTAAATGAGATGATGTGCATAAACTCTCAGTGGAGTATTGGCTCACGATAATCCTTTACCAATATCTGGTAAATGTTGAGAATTTGCCTGAAAGGTCTGAATGAGGCTCTACCAAGCTTTGCTGTCCGCAAGGGGTAGCCGTTATTCAGGATGAGACTCCAGAGGAGGAAGTAACTCTTTAAAAAAAATGTTAAGTTCCTATGATGTGGTAAGACATGGGGATGTAAGGAAACTGATGTTCCTACTGTTAGGAAGCTTACAGTCAATAGCAAAGTAAACATTTTTCTTTCTTTCTTTTTTTTTTTATCTCTCTCTCTGTAAAAATGTAATTTAGAAATGATTACAAGCACAGTGGGTATAATGGGTATTAGGATGAGGAAGAGGGAAGTAGATGTTATGAGTAGAGGCAAGTGTATCCAGGGCATTAAATAAAATTTCACAGAGGCTGTGGCATTTAAGCTGAGGTCTAAAACATTAAAGTAGGAAATTGTTAAAGAAGAAAATACTAAATTTTTTATGAAATGATAAAGATTACAGAAAACCCAGGAGCCTTCTGAAGGAGAAAAATATTGAGGTCTTATAAAATTAGAGTAATTAAGATTATGATATTAGAACAAAGGGACAAAAAAGGACAGACAAATTAGCCAGTGGAGCAGAATTGAGACCTAGAAGTAGACACACACATGTTTGGAGCATTCAGTGTATGACAGAGGAAGCACTGCATATCAATGGGAGAAAGAAGGGCTATTTTATAAATAGACCTGAAAATAAAATGATAATTCATGTGAAAAACACATGAAATTGCATTTCTATTTCATGTCATAAACCAAGATAAACTTTAGATGTATTAATGTCAAAAATAAAACTAAAACTTAGCAGAAAAAAATTAGACATCTATAATACCTTGAATTAAGAAAAAATTCTAAAATACGACACAAAAACATTGACCATTAAAAAATTGACAAATTTCACTGTATTAAAATTGAGTAAGTTGGTTTATTCAAATGTAGCTTAAAGTAAAAATAGTTACAAATTGTAGATATTTGTGAAACATGCAACTATTGTCAAATATATACAAACAACTCCTATTGTTAATAAGAAAAGCCTAAATAGTTCAATAGGCAAAAATGAGCAACAGACTTGAGTAGATGCTTCTTAGAAAAGAGAATATATATAGCAAAAAAACTTATGAAGAAATATCTAACATCAATTTTGATCAGGGAAATGCAGACCAAGGCTACAATTACGTATTTATATCCATTCAGTTACCAAAAATTAAAAAGGCCGAGAATACCAATTGTTAGAGATGATACATCTCCACATTTTTACAACTTCAGAGAGCAGTTTGGCATTATCTCTGAAATCTGAAAATTTGTGTATGACCTAACACTCATAGTCATATACTTAAGAAATTTTCCATATACACAAATATTTTAAAGAATTACTGCTTATAAAAATAAAACATAGGGCCATCAGAGGAAAAGCTGATGAATGGTGGTATATCAATATAAAGGATTAGTATATAGTAGTCAAAATTAAAGTACAACAACCTGCACCAATATGAATGATTATTGATGATATAATAATAAGTATAAAAGTGATGTCTCTCAAAGATGACATACAGCTTGTTACAGTTAGAACAGCTAAAAGCAACTAAAATTTACAAATATACATTTTAGTAATATATAGAGATGCAACAAGACTTCATATAAAGCAAGCAAAGCTAATTATAAATGTGAGATTTAGGACATTGATTGTCATGTATTTGGGGGAGATAAGGGCATGGGATGGGGGTGAACATTTTGACTAATTGTGAGGTATTTCTGGGGTCCTATATTTGTTTTTGATTCTGGGTTTGATATGTCTGTTACATAATATTGATAACGGAGTGAATGAATAATAGCTACTGAATGGATTTAAAAATTAGAAATCTACTGAATGGGTTTAAAAGATAGAGCAGACATGACTGCGTTAGTTTTATGGATTCAGTTCAGGGAGGCTGGGAAGGCAGCTGTGGCATCACTCCATGAATTCGGTGGAGGAATTGATGCCTGCTTAGAACAGATTAGTGGCAGTGAGGTATGAAAGAAGTGGGTGAAAGAAAGAGGTATTTGAGATATGGGAGTAAGAGAGCTGGATGCTTTACTGGCTCTGACAGGTGTAGGAGATAGAAGTGTCAAGGACAAGTCTCAGGTTTCTTACAGGGCATTATTTGACTCAATTTCATGAAAGAGGAGAGAATGTAAGAGGAGATAATTTGCAGACATTGAGTTTATTTTAGACATATTGAATTTGAGACACCTGTTAGGGAACTGAATGGAATTGTTCAGTAGGAAGATGGCTATATTATTAAACTATAAGTATCAGACTTAATAAACATCACTTGTATGGTGTTTTTTTCCCCCCCCTAAAATGGATTATATTCTCTTTT